AGAGTAGAACCACAGAGGAGGTGATTGACACAATCAAAGTTAAAGTAGCCCATTGGGTAAGTTCTTTGCATATATTCCAAGAGTTCTCAGTCACAGACATTATAAGATCCTRGAYARAAGTAGCACAATCTTCAAGAGTGAAAGAGAGAGTAAGGTTGGAATGGAAACCTCCAAATGGTAACAGAATTAAACTGAATTTTGATGGAAGTTCATTTGGGAATCCAGGATTGTCAGGTATCGGGGGAGTAATCAGAAATTCTAAAGGGAGGATATTAGCATTATTCTCTGGACCTATTGGCATGGGCAACTCTMTAAAAGCTGAGGTAATGGCATTGCTACAAGGATTGAAGATAGCCAAGCAACTAGGAATGAGGCAAATTGAGGTTGAAGGGGATTCCAAGGTGATCATCTCTTGGGCTAATAACAATAGAATTACTCCGTGGACCTTCAAACAAGTGAAAAGGGAATGGAAAAGGTTGCAAGGGAGATAGAAGCAGAATTCAAATGGGTTAGAAGGAGTGCAAATGGGCTAGCTGATTATCTTGCTAAACAAGGGGCTTTGAGGCAACAAYTGTTTTGGGCTGCATTGTAAAAGGGACAGAAATATGTATTCGTGTGGGACTTCTTGTTCCATACACATCATTGTAAAACTTCTTAAATCCAATTTCAAATAAAAATTTCCTTTGATGATCAAAAAAAAAAATTTGCAACTGACCACTAATTTCTCTTTTGATTAATTAGTTCATTTTAATTCAGCTTTAATTTTCTTATAGCAAGCTGCTTTACCTCCTAGACAAATCTGAATCCTTGGTGGCTACACCAATTGCCCGTTCCACCTCTTTTATACGCAACTTCAGCTCTTTAACCAAGTGAGATTTGCTGTTTGGTGGTGCAAAATTCAAGTATGTCTTGGCCCTGATGATTTGATCTTTCATTTCTCTTACTTTCTCATCAGTTGCTCTCTGAATATTAGATTGCACATTTGGATCTTGTCTGACAGTTGCTTGGGTGGAGTAACCCTGCTTAAACAAAAGCACAGCTCACAAGAATCATTTTGACTTGTTCATAGTGAGAGATCAAAATTTAAAATAAATATATAAAAATCAATTCAGCTTGATATTTCCCTTAAACAACTTGCATTACATGAAAAATCAATTAAAATCTTAAGACAAGCTTCAAATGAACATGTATTACAAACCATGTTCCACAGCATCAAGCTCAAACAACCTTGCAATCAATTTTTTAAACACATTTTTTGGATAAATAGCAAATAGCATACAAGAGGTATATAAAAGAAGGGCGAAAGACAAGAAGGGAAACATCTAAAAGGCCCCAAGCAACCACCTCCACACAACAGAAATCTCAAACTTCACCTACCTAAACACAGTTTTATTAAATACAAAGGCAAAACCATTTAGTAAGAGCCATAATATAAAATATATAAAAAGGGCAGCCCAGTGCACAAGGCCCCCACCAATATAGGGTCTGGGGAGGGACAGATATAAATCCATTTAGCTACAATATTTCCTTTAAATAACTTGTATCATGTTGTTGAGCTTTATTTTTAGCTTTTTATCTGTTTATGCGCCCCAGGGGCACAATTGTATTTTTACCTTTCTTTATGTGCTGCCCTAATATAAATAGAATAGCTGGTGCCGCCAGCATGCTTTTTGGCTCTCATTCAAATCTCCTCTCTCTCCTCTCCTTTACCTGAGTCAAGGAGAACCACATTACCATTCCCATTCCTCAGCACCCCTCCCATCCCAGAGGGGCCTGGATTACGTTGACTACTGCCATCAAAATTCAGATTCAAGAAACCTGCAGGTGGTGGTTCCCAACTCATACTCACTCTGACCTTTAGAGAGGAGCAGTGCTTGCCACTGCTGACCAATTCCTCCAGAAATCATCAAAGGAGAAAAGGTGGAAAGTACCCAAGGATTTTAACCACATAATTGCCTATGTTAGTTCCAAGGAGCAACTTTCAGATGTGTTTACTAAGGGATTACCTCACCTGCAGCACCATGATCTTTGTGACAAGTTGAGCACGAAAGATATCTATGCCCCAACTTGAAGGGAAGTGTTGTGTTGAGCTTTATTTTTCGTTTCTTGTCTTCTTTATGTGTCGTATGGGCACTGTTGCATTTTTATCTTTCTTTATGTGCCACCCTAATATAAATAGAATAGCTTCTGCCACCAACATGCTATTTGGCTTTCATTTGATTCTCTCTCCTCTTCTCTTGCCTTCTCTCCTCTCCTCTCTTCCTCTCTTTTCTTGGTTCTTTTATTATCATGTTACATGCAAATTCTATTAAAATCTCATGACACGCTTCAAATAAAAGTCCGTCCTAAAACCATTTTCCCCTAGAATAAGCCCAAAGCAACCTTGCAATCAGTTTTCTTTAAACAGTTTTTTTTTTTTGGATAGATAAAATTCAGAGAGAAAAAGACGAGAAAAATGTAGAAGAGGTATATAAAAGATGGGTGACAATAAAAAAAACAGCATAAAGCCTCAAGCAACCACCCCCAAAAAAGGTTTTCCTTACCAAACACTATCAACAAACTGAAAAAGAACTAGTCCTATACAAAGACCCCAAAAGACCGGACATGGTTCAAAGTATCGATACACCCCTGTGTATTGGCAGAGGCATATCGGTACTAAAAACCATGTGCATTTGTGTTGTTTTTAGTTTTTTTAATTGCCTTTTAGGGACACTTTTAAGTGTATTTTTTATTAAAAAAAAGAGGGTTCCCAAAAAAAAAGAGGGTTCCCAAAACACCTGTATAACAGGTGTATCGGGACCCTAACGATACGATATGATATGCACGATACGGGGTGTATCATATCAAAATTTTGATCCTTGAGACCAGAAACACCAAATGCACCCGGCAGAAAAGACACACCACACTGACCATCACCACCACCAATTCCTACAAGGCTAAAACCAATCTTGGAGAACATTAACAGAGATAGGAAGAAAACTTCTCATTTAAGCAATATATGTTGACATAACACTGCAGCATCTCTTCTTCATCTCATGCTTCTATTGCTTCTTTCTCCTGTTCTATTCATCTGTCTCAGACCCACTTTAATCTTCCTTTGCAATTGAATCTCCTCCCCCTCCGCAATTAAATCTCCTCCATCACCCAACTCCTTAGGGTGAGTTCCTGCATTTTTTTCCTCTGATATATCTAGCAGCAAGAGTTTTTAGAGACACTTGCACACTCACTGACATAATATCAGGCCTATGTCCCACTTCAGAAACATACTGCAAAAGATCAAAGGATAAGGTTTTCTCTTCTATACCAGTTTATTTTCTCCCACCACCACTAAATCTCAACTCATTTACTTTCTCCAGCCACCACTTTCTCAAACTGAACCCTCAGCTCTATAACTTACCAATGAACTTCAACATAGCTAAACAAAATATCCACACTTAATGACTTAATTATGTTATATACCTTTGCCCTTTCAAGCCCAATAAAAGAGATACAACCACAACTCTTTTCCTAATTTAACACCAAATGTTAACCAGTAAATTGTTTCAGAAGAAAAAAAAAAAGAAAAAGGGATGACAAAAACTTGACAAACAACAATGACATGGTCAGAATGAGTGATTATAAAAATTTGATTGCTGGTCATTAGTTTTAAGAAACCAGGGCAATGTTAATAACAAGGCATAACAAATGTTTTAAGTTATGCAAGGAAATTCATCATTATACAAATTTCAATACCTTTTTTGATAAGTAATAGAAGATTTTATTAAGAATACGAATCAGTAAATGATACACAGAGAAAGCTTCCCAAGAAGAGGCACAAGATGCAGCCTCATAATAACACAGAGTTACAATTTAGCCCAAAAAAAGCTGATTCCTATGCACTCCTTGTTTAGCTAGAGAATCTGCTAATCCATTTGCCAATCCCCTTTCACATTGAAAAACGACCATCACATTTGTGGTTATCGTTCCCTTGATTGCCTAGATTGCTACCATCAAAATTGAGCTTCATGACACCTTCTTCAGGACGTTTCCACTCTACTAACGATTTCTCTCTCACAATAGAGATTTTGGCAACTAATTCCCAATTCCTCCCTAAATCATCAAAAAAAGTCCAAATCCTTGGTGCAATTGACGGCTCTATTAATTATATAGTTCCAAACACTAACTTCATCCCTCTCCTCATCGAAAATACTAGTATTTCCTTCCTCCCAAACAATCCAAACCAACGCAGCCCTAGCATACCCTCCTCAAAATTCTACCTCTTCTCTTAGGCCACTTGAAGGTTGTAGGTTTAAAGAGATTGCTAATCTACATCGACATTGTCTGCCTGCAACCAAAAAGACCAAAAAGCTTCTCCCAAAGACCTACAACAAAAGGGCAGGAGATTTGGTAAGTGGTAACAATTTTCTCTATTGGCTTTGTAGAGGATACATCAATTAGGGGAGATATTGAAACAAATTCTTCTTTTTTTTGCAAGTTGTCCAAAGTGTTTAATTTTCCAAGAGAGGCCTCCTAACAAAGAGCTCACACTAGGAGGAATAGGCTTGGACCAAATTTATTTAAACGAAAAAGGCTGAGAGTTGGGGGTCGAGCACAAAGTAGAAAAGAAAGAAGCACAAGAAAACACATCAAAAGGGTTAGGGGTTCAAATACACATCTAGTTTAGAAGGATCCAAACAACAAGGATCAAATAAGTAGCTGTGCAGCCTAGCCTGGTCAAGCTCAAAATTTCTTAAATCTCTCCTAAAACCTTCCAATTGAAACGAGAAGACAAGGAGAAGGAAACAAACCTTTGAATTGGTTCATTTTTAAAAAGAGAGAGGGAATACAAGGAAGAAAAATGTCCTTGAGATTTGAGTACTTGAATTACCAATCCAAGTATCTTCCTATTATGGTTGTGCCTTGAATCCTTTGTTGCGACATGCTTCATGAACCCGCACTGAATTAAGTTGAAAAATAGAACCCAAAGGCAAAATTTCATATTGGTTTGTGGTGGAAGTGTAGCCCCCACGACGGTACAAACCCGATCCATATTCAGCTTATGGGTCCAAGCCGAATACAAAGAGTTATGTATTTCAGGGGTTTTCTCTCTTGTATACTTAGTCTTTGTCTTGTGAAACAAGAGTGAGACTTTGGGTATATTTGGGGTTTAGGGTTTTCTGTGAGTGAGGTCGTGAGTGCACAGCTCTATATTCCTCTCCATTACAAATTACATAGTGAATCTCTGCTCCCTTTTCGCCCGTGGATGTAGGCTATAAGCTGAACCACATAGAACTATGTGTCCTCTTTGCTTGCTTCTCTTTATCTCTGTTTTTCTTTCATTTTTGGGTGCCATTCGAATCTACATTTCTGGGTTTTGCGCAACACCTCCTAAAAGAGAACCCTGTCCATAATGCACACATCGTACCTGATTAAGTTTTAGAATTGGAGAAGAATGCTATATATAGCCTCCCACGGAGAGTTTCAACATAGCTCATCAAGAAACGTCAACATCCCAACTATTACCTTCAACTCCATGAATACTTCCTACAACTTTATGCCAAAGCCTTTCTCTTTCCAAAGGCCATCTCCAAAGCCATTTTGCCCAATAAAGCTAAGTTCTTTTTCCTTGCATTACCTAATCCCAATCCCCCTACTCCTTTCTCTTGCAAACTAGTTCTCACCTAACCAAATGATCTTTCCTTCCTTCTCCAAGCTCCCACAAAAAGTTCCTCATAATCTTCTCTACTTTTAGCACCCCCCTTTATGGCATTCTAAAAACAAAATATGAAGTAAACTAGGAGATTTGCGAAGGTAGACTTAATCAGAGTGATTCAATCCCCAAAAGACACATAGTTTCTCTTCCAAGCCACCAATTTCCTATCACAACTTTCTACCACAGGATTCCAAAACCTTTCCTCCCTTGGGTTGTTTCTTGAAAGCAATCCCAGGTATTTCAAAGGCTAACTAGAAGTAGGACAACCTAAAGACTCTACTATCTCATGCAGCTCCTCCTCCTCCTCCTCCAAATTTATCCCCACTA